TTGGCCTCTTGTTTTTAATAATCACAAGTGCGCCCATGAGCCACACATATTTGTTTGCTATAATTATATGTATTTTTAATATTAAGTAAATTTTTACTTTTCTTAATAAGTTACAAGTTTTTATTAATAAATGCTAGAATTAATTATTAAAATTTATATACTAATAAATATTAAGATTAATTATATTGGTTTTTGAAATTTGTCATTCACATTTTATTTTTATTTTTTTGTTTTTTGTTTTACATTTTAGTTATTCCATAATTTTTCAATGGTTACTAATTGTGCCCCGATATGTCACACTTTATATAAACCATTAAATTATGGTTTTTTACATTTAAATGACATATTTACAATCATATAAAATATGTAAATATAGTTAGTAATATATTTTTTAAAATTTATTTGATTTTTTTATCATATTTATGCATATCTTAATTTTCCATCCATATCCAAAGTGTATCACAATACATCTCTTAAAACTACCTTTCCAATACACCTTGTGTTTCTGATAATTTGAACCTTGGTACTAACACTAATTGGATACACCATTGACACATTACCAAAAGCAATGAATCAATTTGGTTTCTTTGCTTGGTTTTTCACTTTCACACTAGAGTTGTAGAGTGGGTTTTTCCACCCACGAGCTGGCATAGCCTTGCATGATATGGGCCATGCCAGGCCCGATCCATTGTTGTAACAACCAAGTCGTGTCATGGCCCATCCCATACCCCGGGTTATATTGGGCATGGATTTTGAGACCCACTGACATGGCAAGGCACAAACAAGTGGACTATGCTAGCATTGGCCTACGGCCCAACCCGATACAACCTGCTGGTATGGCATGGCCCACATACATACATACATACATTATTGTTATATATTAATATTATATATATATATATATGTATTTTCAATTTTTTTAAATTTCATTTTATTATTTCATATATAAACAATTGTATACATCAAAATTCATATAGAATAAGATTTATTTATTTAATTTTTTGACTATTTTGTTAATTTATTTTAAATTTTTCAATTCTTTTAAAATATATCTCTTGCAGCCTAGCCTAGCCTGACACAAAACCGCCTAGGCTCGTGCTATGGGTCATGTCGGGCCTGACCTTTGAAGGGTTCCTAGCTAAGCAAGCACAACCCACCTAGGCCCATGTTTCTGACATGGCATGACTTGCTAAAGCACCGGCAGCCCGCAAAATCGTGTCATACAGGCATAGCACGACCCACTTTACACCTCTATTTCAAATATGTTGTAAAGTGGATTTGTATCCCTCATATATATATAAGAAAGGCTTTGTTTGTTCATAATGCAATTTAATTTATATCTATACTACTTTAAAAAGTACGAATGGTCTCAAGAATATTTCTGGAATTTTCTAAGGACAATATTTACCCCACTATATTTAAATTTAATGATAAAAAAATGAGGGCAAATAGGGTAATTGGTTCTTGATATTAAATGAGTTAAAAAGATGTAATTTAAAAATATTCAATGCATTCGATCCCCTCTCATTAAATCCAACATTTAAGTTATTAACTTGTATTCATGTTCATTGAATCATATATTTAAGTCATTTTTATTTTTTCTCATCATTAAGTTCTATTAATTAAATACATACTTAATAAATTAATAATTCCAATAACATAAAAGCTTATACATTTAAAATCTACCTAGCAAAAATAGTGTTTTCATCTAATGGTGGTAAGAATTTAAATCATTTTGGGTCAAATGGGTTAATCCATGCTGCCAAAGATATTCAATGCATTCGATCCCCTCTCATTAAATCCAACATTTAAGTTATTAACTTGCATTCATGTTCATTGAATCATATATTTAAGTCATTTTTATTTCTTCTCATCATTAAGTTCTATTAATTAAATACATACTTAATAAATTAATAATTCCAATAACATAAAAGCTTATACATTTAAAATCTACCTAGTAAAAATAGTGTTTTCATCTAAGTGGTGGTAAGAAATTAAATCATTTTGGGTCAAATGGGTTAATCAATGCTGTCATGATTAAATAATAAAATTAAAAAATAGATAAAATGAAAAAAAATTAAAAAATGGAAACATTTTTAACATACATATTAAAGAATAATAAGTATGTTAAATAAGAAATGTTTTTATTAATGATGAAAATGGAATGTAAAACTTAAAACCAATTGAAAATAAAAATATTTTACTATTCCCTCTCATTAAATCCTATATTTAAAATATATTTCTCATCATTAAATTCTTGTAATTAAATCCACAATATTAATTTTAATAGTATAAAAATCAATATTTTGAAAAATAATTTGAAAACAAAACCATTTTCTTCCTTCCCAGTGGTGGGCAAGCAATTTGACCATTTGGGGTCAAATTAGGGTTGTTCATAACAAGACCCAAACCGACCAACCCGGTTCGATCCAACTCGAGTTGGTCAGTTTTTCTTCAGCACCGGTCGGTTTCGGGTTAGAAAAAAACATAAACCGATGGTTTTGTTCGGTTTCGGTTTTCATGTGTGAAAACCGAAACCGAATCGACCCAAACCGACTTAGATATATATTATATATATAATATTTCAGATGTATATATATAATATATATATCTGATATATTTCAGTTTTAATATATATTTTAGATATAAAATATCAGTTTTAATCCATCAAATCATTTTTAATTTCCAGGCATCCAGCCTTTGCTTTCTTAGACTTGAATCCTTTACCGTTCACACCGAGAGAATCATTCACAAAATCGACCCAAGCCGATTCAAACGGACCATGTCAGTTTTACTTAGTACTGGGTCAATTTCGGTTCCAACCCAACCCATGAACAACCCTAGGTCAAATGGATCAATAAATAATGTCATAATTAAATAATAAAAAATTAAAATAAATAACTATGAAATGTAAGAAGTATTTTTATTAATTATGAAAATGGAAAGCCAATTTCAAAATCTACTTAGAAATTAAATGATGTCATAGTCAAATAATAAAAGTTTTAATAATAAAAATTACAAAGAATCACAAAAATAAAAAAAGATAAGAGAAAATTTTGGGTACATATCTAACGTTATATATTTATAAAAAATAAAATATTGGGTACATCTCTAATATTGTACATTCATTATATTGAACAAAAATAGGTTTTGTACATAAGAAATAATTTTATCAATGATGGAATACAAAATTTAAAATCAACCTAGAAATCAAACAATTTTTATTTTTAGATGGTGTGTTAGTGGTTTGAGTAAAATGATACCTTAAACAAACAAAAATTAAGTGTGGTAAGTAAAAAAATATTTTATGTAATGTAAATGAAATATATAATTTAAAGGGAAAATTATAGTCAAAGTCGATTTTACATTTAAAATTAGGTTGTAGGTTGGTCTAGAAACCAACCAAACTCTGAAAACTAGCTCTACATTTCAAATTATAAAAACCCCCGCCATGTCATCAGAGGCTTATGTGGTTGTTGCCAACATGGGACTCTTATTTCATATTGGACACAACAAAAAACCTATATCAAAAATAGGTTTTCAGTTTCTCTTCCACTCCCTCTGTCTCTCGATCTCCCTCCCTTCTCTCTCACTCTTACAGTCATCTCTCGATCTGTCGCTCCCTCTATCTCTCCCACTCTCTTTGCTTCAATCTGTAGCCAAATCAAAACCTCTCTCTCTATTGTTCTCCCTCAATCTTTCTCATTCTTCTCCCTCACTCTCCCTCTCGGTCAAAATCTCCTTCTCCTTCAATCTCTATCGTTCTCCAATTGGTGTAAATTTCATAGCCAAGAGTTTCTTGTGAATTTTATCAAATTGGTGTAATGATTTTTTAACCATACCAAGTTGTTCTTTTATACGATCTGATTAATACCATATAAGTGTGTAAGAAAATAAAAAAAAAATAAAAAAAAAACGAGAGAGAGAGAGGGAGAGGGAGAGAAACTATGGGAGAATGATAGAAATTAAGGGAGAATGAGAGAAATTAATATAGAGAACATAAATACAGAAACCAAAAACCATTTTTATTTATTTTCAAATCACATAGTCGTTGAGCAGATAAAAATGGCTATGGGTGAAAGAGTGTGAGGGAGATTGAGAAAGAGAGAGAGAGAGAGAGAAACTAAAAACCCTTTTTTTATTTTCCAATCACCCAACATTAAAGGGAAATTTCTATACAAGTTTTTTATTATGTCCAATATGGATTAAGAGTCTCATGTTGGCAATAGCCACATAACCCTCTGATGACATGGTGAGAGCTTTTATAACTTGAAATGTAGAGCCGTTTATTAAAGTTTTGTTGGTTTATGGACCAACTTGTAACCAAATTTTAAATGTACAACCGGCTCCAACTATAATTTCCCCTAATTTAAAACTAATCCAAAAGCAATGCTATTTCTTATCTAGATGGTGGGTCAATGACCAAACTTTTCAAAAAAATGCATGATGTCATAATTGAATAATAAATATTTAAGTTTATTTTTAATCATATTGTTACTTTTTTTAATTTTCAATTTCTATCTTAACTATGATATATCTAAAATTTAAGTAATTAATATGAAGAAAAATTTCTCACGTGCAACGCATGTGCTTAATTACTAATTAATACAAATGCATGAAAGTTAAAATGAGAAGGGTACAAATTCTAGTTCATGTTTGCATTGGAATTTACTTTACTTTTCTTTATGCATAATCTGCATTACATTCAAATGTAAAAGGCCCACCTAGGCAAAAAGAAATCACTCAAATCATTTGCAATTTCATATTTTTGCACCAGTACAAATGAAATTGCATTTCAAACAAACCAGGCCACGGAAAAAAACATTGCGTCTTTAGAATTCCTCTTAATTCAAAGGTTTTTTTTCTCCACACTCCCAAATACCAATATATATATGCAGTACTCCCATTTCCACCCTCTATTCAAATTTAGAGAGTAGGAGAACGTCTAACAGGACAACAAATAGTAAACATTATAGATAATCTAGGGCATTTTCATTCTCTCAACCAACCAATGAGACTTCATTCTTGTCAGAATGTGTTGCAGGAGCTCCAATATTTTTGAGGTCTACCCCATGAGCCTCGCCTAAACCCTCCTTAGCCACATCATATGATGCATGCAGCCCAACAAGCAAGTAATAGATAATCAAGATCAGGGTCCAAACTACAAACCTCACAAAAGATGGCACATCAAGTGAACCCAACAAAAACATATTAACAGCAATAGTGGCTGATGGCAACCATGGAAACAAC